GCCCAGAAAAGCACTATTGTTCCTAACAACAATATGCAACTCTATCATGAGGACGACTAAATTCCCACTACTATGGAAATATTCACACATCAAAATGATACACAAAAAGAACAAAGACCCCAATCAATCCCTCATCCTACAGACCGATAATTCTCCTCCCAATATGATTTAATTTACAATGGATTGGTTGACATACTGACGGAGCAAAATATAATTCCTAACCACCAGTTCGGTTTTAGTACGTTCCATTCAACAACACAACAACTAAACAGAGTCTACATTGCTGGAGCACTAGACCAAAAACAGAACGCAACTGGCGTTTTTCTGGATATTGCCCAGGCCTTTGATAAAGTCTGGTACCATCGACTACTCATTACACTGAAAACACTACTACCTCATACATATTACCTCATTCTCCAGTCTTTCCTTTTCGATAGATTTTTCTCTGTCCGGAAAGGACTAGAAATTTCCTCAATTCGACCAGTGTTAGCTGGAGTACCTCAAGGATCAATACTGGCTCCTTAACTCTGCATTATATATACGCATGACATACCTATCAACTCCGAAACATTGACCGCCACCTACGCTGATGATTCAAAATTTAAAATAAAAAACACCATAACCCCAGACTAGCCTCAATAAATTTACAAAATCACTTACTGGCTTTACAAAATTGGTACTCACTTTGGAAAATAAGATTAAATCATCACAGGTCACTACATATAACATATACACTTCGACGAGAAACGTGCCCACCAGTTTATACAGGAGGAAACCAAATTCCTCAGACAAATACAGTACGTTACCTGAGACTAATGTTCGACAGAAGGATGACCTGGGGTCCACACGTCAAAATGAAACGACAGACCTTAAACAAGCGACTGAAAATACTGTACTCACTGTTTTCTAAATCGAAATTCAAATTTCGACAAAAACCAAATACATACACTTACCTACTCAAACCCATCTGGACATACGCCTCTCAGATTTACGGATCTGCAAAAAAGACGCACTTACAAAAACTACAGTCATTTCAATCCAAAATTTTACGACTTATAACAGGAGCCCCCTGGTATGTCAAAAACAAAACTTTACATAACGACTTACGACAACCAACTATAGACCAACATATACGTACTCTCTACTCTCGTTTTCATCTCAAACTACACGGAAACACAAACAGACTTATAAGCAACATGGCTACAACTGACATGCACATCAGGAGGACACTAAAAAGAAGCTGGATGACGGATTTCCTCACCTTAATCAAAGAAGTAAATAATGACCAGGAAGAGGTCCTGCTGGGTAGGATCCTACCTCATGCCTGTAATGCCAATCCTCATCATCACAACACATCTGGTGATTGCCAATACCATGACAGGTGCTGATAAATAGTTAAAGAGAAAAAAAAAGTTTGAAATAAATATTTAAAATCCACCTAGTCAAGGCAATGACATTGTTTAAAAAACTTTTTAAATATTATATTTAAATAATTAGGTATCAACGTCTATTTATTAAGAAATATTGTCATCTAAATTTTTAGAAAATTAAGATAGTGAGTTGATGAATCATCCCTTTGTGATATTCCATCAGTATTTACTACTATTTTATTGTAGTTGTGTGAAAGAAGAAGTGAAATATAAGAATATTTCTTAGATACGTATATAACCTTAAATATATTTACTGTAGTTTAATAACTATAGGTCTAATATTATATTAAAATATTTAGGTATCTATCGTCCGTTTATTGCAAAAAAGTAACCTTTTAGAAAATTAAATTAGTTAATAGTTTGATGAAATTTCCTTTTGTGATATTCCAACAGTATCCACTTACTATTAGTGCAAGGACAGAAAATGCAAATCTCTTAATTCCGTTTCAGTAAACTTTGCATTGGTAAATAAAAGTTTAATAACTAATATTCGTATAATCCATTTTCAACGGATAGTGCAATCTATAATCAACCCGTAATATGATAAATAGGACTTTTATTATTTTAATAGTATTTATGATTTTTTTCAGCTGTAATTTTTTAGGTTTAGCTCAGTTAAAAATGCAGTTAAAAAAATTTATAATAGCCCAACAAGGCCAGAAAATAATTTCTATTCAAATTAAGTGAAAGTTGTTTGTTGCGCGCACCAGATTTTTTTTTGTACACCCCTTCCTTCTTCAGGAGGGGATGGCCGAGCACATTTGAGTATAGGTCCAAGAGTGTCTGGTTCTTAACGATGTGGGGTCGATTCCCACATGGGTCCGTCACATTTCATTTTTCGGCACCCCGGAGAATGTATCGTGACATTCTTACTCTGTTAAGTACGCGGCGACAACCTTAGGGTAGTTTTGAGCAGTAGTGAGGTGTAACGTTGTACTTTTTTCTAATCCTTATATCAAGGTAATTAACGATCTCGTCTGAATCTATCCTTTTCTATACCTATCCTGTACCTATCCTACTAGTATTAAGAGAAATGGGATGAACACTGTCGGTCATACCCCGTCAAAGAATGGACTGGGTTTAAGCAGCCACCGTTCTTAACTTCTTTCTCTCGCATCCTCCTCCTACTAGGTTGGCGTACCTTTCATCTTTATCTTTCAACCTACATCTGCTGTCTGAAGCCAATAAAATATCGTCATTGTGGCCGAAGCCACACTCAGATCGTCTAAATAAGCTGTGACGATGAACCGTTCTTATTCTAGCACTACAATCAACTCACCAAAGACCACTTTCCATAGGGCTGGACCAAGAACTAAGACTAGCGGACAACCTCTTTCAATTGTATTTTCTACTTTAATGAAGCTTCCTTGTATCTTTAATGTTCGATCTTGCAGGTAGCTTCTTAAAAGATAAGTTATATTCAAGTGCTGGATGCTTCATGCTACTGTACCTTCTAGAGTACGCTCGACCACCAGACGATTTCAAAGCCCAAGGATATGTCGAACAAGAGAAGCATAAAAAACTTCTCCGCCTTTTCTTTAACGTCACCGTGAACACTCAGAAGCGTTTCTGACTTTAGTGGACAAGTACTGTTGCGGAAGAATCGACATTGATTATTTTAAGACGAGGTTTTCAAAATATTTTCAGAAGTTTCTTGGTATAGAAAGTGAATAACTTCAGTCTTTAGCCCGTAAGCGAATGGATGCATGGACAAGTGGAATCACACAATGAAAGCAGCCTCATGGCTCGCCTTAACACAGATTATTCTACCCTGATTCTATAGATATTGGTACTAGTGGGGGAAACTAGTCCGGCAAGTGGGCTACTCATGGTCCTTTGTGCCAACCCCTGACGGTTACGTTGAGGTTACCGCGTACTTACCAGAGTTGGAAGGTCAAGATCCATTTCCTGAGACCGCCGAGAAATGAAAAGTAACTGGCCCAGGTGGCAATTGACCCCACAACGTTCAGAATCGGACACTCTGGTACCCATGGCTCAACGCGTCCGGCCTAGATTCTGTGGCGCATAGAGTGTATTGGAATCAGTATTACTTGTGCTGTACTTCTTCTTCTGTTGACAGCGTAATCGAATGAATTTAGGGCCAGACAATCAGTATACCCGGGGAATTCTTGCAAACTTCTGTACTGTTTACTGAATCCAAGTACACTCATAAGATCTAAAGAAAGATTTAGATCTTATTGTAGTAAAAACCTATTTATCCATTAAGACATATGCTTACAATCGACATATGCTTTTCTACGAGAAGTCGTTCGGAGTCCACTGGTAACTGCAAATTGATGACCACAAAAGATTATTCAACGAGTGGAAAAACAATAAATAAATAAATAAATAAATATATATATATATAAATAATAAATAAATAATATATATATATATATATATATATATATATATATATATATATATATATATATATTACAAATAGAGATCAGGCAGATGGATGTCTATACCGAACATTTATTGTTAACCTGTTTCCAAGTAGATACCAATCCAAATTCTTCTGAACTAGTGACCACAATTAACAGCTAATCCAACTCACAACATAACCCCAAAAAATGGGGGCGTCAAACAAAAGATTTTCTTTAAAGATCCGTTACTATTTGATTTATTAAAAAAATAATAATTTTAACACATGTAAAAAGAAAATAAACTCTTAAAAATATATTTTACTTGAAATATTCAGCTGAAAAATAAGCTTCCGTCTTTGAGTCAAAATAGTCCGTTCTATCTTTACCTTTTATTAATAAACCTCTTTAGAATATATTTGCCGACAGTCACAATCGCGTGGTGGGAGGGGGAATGGGGGCTTTTGGTGCATCAGAAATCTCACATATATGATAATTTATGAATGAGTAATAATAAGTGTCCTATCCTTCACCTGGGACAGGAATCTGTCAATTATGCAGAAGTGCAGTTTGTCAATGATTTTGCTTCTTATTTATGATACTTCTATTTCTTTTTACCTGAACTTAGAAGACAGTAACTCCAGAGACGGTGGAAGCCATAGGAATATCCCTCGATCTTTTGCTACAAGGAGACTATTTCCTTCTGGCATATGATCAAAAGAAAGGCTAATGATATGATTAAAGAAGTATATGATTAAAGACTTGCTAATTTACCGGTATAACCCTGATTATGAATAGGAATTAGTCCGCGAAACTGAAAAAGTTTTCCGCAGAAGAAAAGAGTGGGATCGTCAATGTTTGACGACTTCAAATGGATCTACTCAGAGAAAGTACTTTCCAACGGTCGCATCGCGTATTATAGTGATATGGGTGCTGGATATCAAAGATTCTCATCGTGCATGGAGCTTCTCGAGGAAAGCTCATTGAAGATACTAAAACACCGATTCTTTGGTCCCCTGGGGTATCAGTGACCGCTGTGCATATACCACTACCTTGGACGTTGGTTCGAAAATAAAATGAATTCTTAGTAAATGTCTCTATTTACTAACTTCAGAAACTTATATTTGCTAAGAATTTTTATTAATATCTAGTATTAAGTCTTTTTGTGTTTATTAATCCTATGAATATAAGATTACGTCAAGCACCCATTAAATTTCATTTATTGTTACCTAAAATGTTCACTTCTGTTGTACTTGACTACGCGCTTTATTTCAATTATTATAATTTAATAATTGAAATAAAGATGAGATTTAATATAAGGATGAGCGAAATATTAAGCTTTGATTAACGGAATTATAAAGAAATGAGGAAGAAAAACTATGACTTTCTTCACATAACTCTTCATTGTCTCTAATCGAAAATACTTTCTTTTTTAACATATTTAAGTTGTTTACAATATTTAATACCCCAACTATCGTATTAGTATTATTTATTTTGTTATGGCGGTTTTTATTTTTATAAAATCCTCCAAAATCATGTTCTCATCCAAATTGAATTCCCGGCGGTTTACTTGAAGAACTTTTAATATGTTTTGTTGTTTAAAGTTAAGTAAAAATCACAGTTGACATTAGACGAATGTTACTACTGTATTTAATAGAAGTATGTTCCCTATACGCTAATTGTGTTTAGTAGTTTGAAATCCAGAAAAACCCATTAGTGCTTCCATTTCTGACGGTTGGGTTTCCATTTCATATTCCTCATCTTGACCTTCTTTCTGCTTTTCTTCAGACTTTTCTTCATTTTCAACCGTTTTATTCGTTTCACCGCCGTAATCTTCCTTTTCATTTTCTTCTCCTACTTCATCATTATTATCTTTGTCAGCATTTGACCACTTGTTTCTTCCCTGATTATTAAATCTATTTCTACCTCTTTGTTGCTGTCCCCTCTGGTCATCGAATCTTCTTTGACGGCCCCTTTGGTCTGAGAATCTTCTGTTTCCTCTTTTTTCGAAAAACCTATTGTTACCTCCTCTTTCACGGTCATTAAAATTTCTTTGACCTTTCTGATCCATATATCTTCGTTGGCTTCCTTTTTGTTCAATAAATCTATTACCTCTTTTCAATAGCATGTTGTTATTGGTTTTTTGATTTGAATACCTACCCGTTCCTCTGTTTCTATTGTAGCTCAAATTCTCAAGTAGTTCTTGCTGTTCACGAATATCATTTAATTTTTCTCTGAGATCGACATATACAGGTTTTTTTTTTCCAAAAGTTGATCCGCGTAGCATCTTTTTAGAGCTACCTTGTGATTGCTTATGTTTTTGGAGAAGTAATTGTAGAAGAAGTTCGTTTTCATTGTCATCAGAAATTTCTTCTTCTTCTTCGTCTTCATAAAGATCTTCCAGTTCTTCTTCTTCACTGTCAATTGAGTCAAGTTGAACGAGGCGTGATCGATTCATTGGAATTATTTCATCATCATCAAGGTCATCATCATTAGATTGCAATAAGCGCTGCAAACCTGACAGCTGTTTGTCTTCTGAGTTATTCATATTCATTAAAGCCCAACGTTGGTAACTCATTTTCTTAAAAGTATAAAATTCAACTTAATATTTATGGGAACACAATCGTTATGTTCTTTATTTTTAACAAATACTTGGTAAACATGTGTTTGACAAATCAGTATTAAATCACATTTTACTATTTTTTCTGCGAATGAATTAAAAAAATAAATATTATAGATATACCGACTCTTATTTTTAGTTTTCTTGAGGAATAATGATGAAAATGATTCACAATATTAGCGGTTTCCTTATTAATTATTGATCTTTGATGGTAACAATGATTGATCGCATAATGATATTTTTAGAAAAAAATAATCAACTTATGTCTTAACTTATAATAAGTTATTAATTTACAAAATGAAATTATGATTCTATTGAACGATCACCATATTGAACAATCCTAACCAATTTCTTATTACATTTTTAACTCATCAAAAAATATTGTAATCCTTGTGCTTTTAGTTTACTTATAAAAAGTGAGACACATTCAGTTATTTTTACAAATATGTCTTGTGCTGGTACTGGTTCTTGGGGGGAGGGGAGGAACTAAACAGCCAAGCGGGATCTGTCGTTGTCCTTTTTGTCAACCCATGACGGCTACCTTGAAGTAACTTTACACCACTTATGTAACTTTAAACGCCACTTACTTTACACCATGTTGGGAATGTCAAGATTTATTTCTCGTTCGCAGAGAAAAGAAAATTAACCAACCCAGCTGAGAATCGAACCAACAACGCCAAGTTGACCCATGCCATTCTGTCCTCTATATGTGTTATTACGGGTTTATTGTAATAGAATGAAAAATGTTTTGGTGATGAACCTGATCTTTGTTACAAGGCGGTCTATTGCTATGTTTCTGCTATTTAAGCTGCTCCTAAGGCAGTTAGGAGGTTCCATGAATCGCATTTATTTCTAGTTAATGTATATATTTGTATTTCTATCGGTTACAGGAGGTAACCAAACTACTTAAAAAATATGTTGGTTATGTATTTGTAAGATAGATACCACAGATCTCCTGCAGTAATATACTAGATTGAAGTTTAATTTCAATTGTATATCTTCACAAAAAGTGTCACTTTTACCATTAGTATATGTAACTAAGTCTAAATGGTGGCATGCAGGAATATTTGCTAATGAATTAAGGTTTCATAAAAAAAGTAATCTATTTATAAATTTACAAATTATATACACTTTGAAAATCGTTAGAAGGAGAATGCTGTGAATAGGAATGATTTAATTTATTTATTGAAAAAACATTAAGATTGCAAAACAAGTTTACAAGGTAATATCTGAATGAATGCTATGACTTAGCTGGTTATATGGTGGAGTCCTTAGCTGCTTCTTCTAGATGGTTGGTGTCGCCATCATCTCGGGGTCTCTTCTTCTTTTCGCTGCCCTTCTTGGTGCCTCTCTCAAGTCTCATCAGCTGCCTTCCTCTTTGGAACTTCTTAGCCTAGAGACTTCCTTGCAGAGACAATTCTAACCCTGTATCTACACTGGATTGTCGCGTACCGCTCACTCCCAGTCCATAACTGACTGACTCCAAAATGGACATTTTCAGTTTTTTTTTCTCATTGGTTGGAGTTTTGTAGGAGAGAAGATTACCAATTCTTAAATCAGTACTGAGGTTGTTTTTGGCCCTTTTCTATAGAAGTGTCGCTATTTGTTTTATCCTAGGTGGGCAATCTGGTTCGTAACATATTTACACTATACTAATTCAGGAAATTTCTTTATTGAGACGAACCACAATCTGTCACATTCAAGGACAATGGTAATAGTGATAAAGAATAGCTCATTCATACTATGCACAATAAATATAAGTAATAAACACCAATAAAATAATACTAAACGTAAATGTATATAAACTAAAAGATACTAAACTACACAAAAATAAACTAATCTAACAAAATAAATACATAAAAACATACTATACTAATAGAATCCATTAGCGTTTATTGTACTCCAGCCGGTGATTCGAAAGAAAACCTTATCTGAGCGGCAGATTCCGGTCACTAACGTCTACAACTTATACTAACCCAAGTTTCCCTGACCTGTGCTGGCAATTATTATAATCTTTTCTATATTATATCCTGAAATATATTTTAATTCAGAAGTCAGTCTACGACACATAACACTATAACATTAATATTTTTTTTTCTATATTCTAGATCCATAGAAGGAAGTTTATTTCCAGTAACATTCATATAATAAGCGTTTTTACATAGCCCAATTGTTGTAGACCTGTCATGTTGGAGACCCAAGACTATTTGGACGGAATTTTCGCAATTATAACCTGGCAAAGATTTTTTTTTCTTGTTAAGAAAAAAAATGAAGTAGTTGAAAAACAATGAAAAGTTGCTTAGGAAGTCCACGCCTTATTTGACGATTTCAGAGCAGCCTATGATTCTATGGACAGAGGCTGTCTTTGGAAAATCACGACTGAACTGAAAGTAACCGATATATTTGTAAGATTGACAAATACGTGCACAAATGAACCTAAATGTCGAGTCCCAATGCAAGGAGAAGTATCTGGAGCCTTCAATGTTTGGATCCACAACAATCTCAATTAAGGAACAACGGTCTGAAATAGACCAGCTTACAAGAAGTGCAAGCCGAGCATTCTTCTCCGTTTTAAAGGTATTGAAATCCCAACAAATCTTAAACTATGGGTATGCAATGGTATAAAGCGAGTTTTAATATATGGCTGTGAGACCTGGACACTAAGCAGTGTCCTAGGAAAAGGTCTTGAAAGATTTGAGAGAAAAATCCTCAGCATGATAATCAGAGCGATCTGGGATGAGAGTACCAAAACTTGCTGAAAAAATACACATAGAAAACTGCTTAAAGAATCTAGTCAAGCAATATCTCATGAAATGAAAGCAAGGAGGTTAAGAAGGGTAGGACATGAAGCTCGGAGCAATCATCTGGAATCTAGTATTCACGACAATGAATATCTTAACAGTTGGAAACAGGCAACGTCAAAGACCAAAAACCAGATGGATAAATCGAATACAAATATACAATATCTGTAATAGTAATAAAAAAAACATTGTAAAGGAAGGAGATGGTCGAGGGTGGTGGCCATAAATAGGCTAAATAGTGACATAACTGTTTTATTATAAGCCAACGGTTCGACCCTACTTTGCATGTCTTCTTCAGGGCTAGAACGGGCAAAATACAAAAAGATATAGAGAATTGTGGAAGTTACATAATATTTAGACAAAACATTATAAACATAATTGCATTAAAATATAAACAGAGTAAGCTAAGTAACAAGGTCCTAAACAGAAGTAAATAGATGGTAACAATCGTTGTAGTTTAATATATAATATATACAACAATTTTTATATATTTTTACTATATAAACAAAAACAAGTTTTATTTCTTCAGAAAAGTTTTCTTTTTTTTTTTCTTTCTCCACATTCCTTCATGTCTATTATTTCATATTATACCCTTTTTCCTTATCTTTCAATCTCTCCTGTAGATCTGTAGAAATATATTCACATTCGCATATATTATATATTATACTACAACAACTGTTACCATCTATTTACTTCAGTTTAGAATCTTGTTACTTAGCTTATTCTGTTTATATTTTTATGTACTCACTGTTTATAATTTTAATAAGCTTATTCACATTGTTTTTATAATTTTTTGCCTAAATATTATGTGACTTTCACAATTCTCTATATATTTTTGTATCTTGTCCGTTCTAGCCCTGAAGAAGACCTGCAAAGTCGGGTTGAAACGTTGGCTTTTAATAAAATAGTTTCGCCACTATTTACCCTATTTATGACTGCCACTCCGTACCATCTCTTTCCTTTATAATGCAACGGTCAACTATTAAATATTTTTAAAAAAATTGTAAATTTATTTAAAATATAGCTTTCCATCTGTCTATAATATACCAATTGTCTATTTTACCATTGCAACAGTACATTCATAAAAATCACTTAAAAGTTTACTCAATATATAACTAGGCATAAAACGGAAATTTGTTGGGGGAACATAATGAATGATATGAAACATATTGAGTAAATGAAATATAATTATTGATAATAGGTTTCAGGGGGGCAGTGTAATCGGGAGACGTAAGCGAGGCCCATTAGGGGCTTGAAACCGGGATATCGTAATTAATGACTGAGTTTATACAGGGCGCTCTCACCTGCTTTAACCCAGCTTCAATATTCCATCCTCTCAGTCAACCAACTTTTAAAATACTTTTTATACAAATCTGCTTCCCTTTTATTGCTTTCATAAATCTGTTAAAATCATAATTAATTTAATAAGTTACATAATTAAATCAACATATTACTTCAGAAAGTAATATATTGATTACTTTCAGTATTGATTACTTTTGCCGACTTCGTCAACTCTTATTGCGGTACAAATATTATTCAAAGATAAAAAACGCTGCAAATTATTCTACAATGGTTTATTATTTCCAGACAATTATGCATCCAAAGTAATATTCTTTGTAGCCTTCATAGTTACAAAGAAAAAAAAATAAAAGGTGATTCCAATTATTGGACTAAACTTTTTTTTTTAATCATTGGTAATATGCTTAAAAAAATAGCATTACATCAGTAACATATTCAAAATTTAAAACCAAACAAAGGATATAACAATTGGAGTAGAACATATTTAAAAAAAAACGGAGACCATATCATTGCTCCTAATTGTCGGATTTTAACGATTTTTTTTTTTGGATTTTAGGAAATTTCGTAAACTTTAAAAAAACTATATACATTATCGACAAAAAGTGTAAACTTTTTGAGTAATTCGGAATTTAATTTCACCATCCCTCGTAACTTTTTTCCCAGCTTCTTTTCGTTGAAGTATGTTATATAGATAAATTTAAAGGGCGTCAAGAAAATGACTTAAGCGAAGTTTCATTGAAATCGGTCCATTCGTTTAGGAGCTATAGTCTATAGCAACGCAGGTTTTTCGGCCGCCATTTTGAAAGTAAAAGGCGGATGGTAATGTCGATGAAGGAGGATCATCCTCGGGTGACCTCTGATTTTATAGTAGTAGTTTCGGAGAAAATGCGCGGACGGCGGACGGACAAAAAAATTTTTATTCGTTTTTCGAATTTTAAGCATCCTGAAACTTGAAACCTCAAATTTTCA